AGGTTGTCTTCTGACAAATATTGATTGGCCGACAAACAAGCATACTTGCTGAAAAAAATTAGAATTACGATCATTAAGCAAGCACACGATAATTCAGTTTCAACAAAGTCTTAAAAGTGTTTTTCTGTTCGAATATACCTCAAAGATTCCTCGATCGCTGTATGCAAGATGCTATTGACTTTCTGTATCCTATCTCCGTCTTTGTTCAGACATTGACATAAGAGAGAAGCCTCACTATGCAAAAAACTCAATGAAAGTCTGGCTCGTGCCAGACAGGCTTGCTCGTCCGAAGAGTTCACATTATGATGTGAGATTCTATAATTTTCAAATGAGAGATTCTACTCTTCACATTCTTACCTTTCTATTATACTGACTAATCCTTCAGCAAAACTTTCTTTCAAACTAACCAATTCCGCTTCCAAACCCACTTTCTCATATTGAGAACAGTGTTTACGAATTACTTGAACCCCTTCGAAAAGAACGGTCACAGCACTAGAACAGTTTTTCATATATATCATTCCGGATCTAACTCACTCGTAAAGTCCTCTAGATATTCCAACACCTAACAATGAGTCGAATTTACCAGCTCGTTTCTCGAAGAGTGGATGAGGTGCCAATGAAATGAGGCTCAGCTTGTTCAGAAATTCTTGCTCCAAGTTAGACAAATCTCGTTCCATTAATGCCTTTAAAAATAGGATGAGGTATTACTTCGGAAATGACTATCACCTGGAATTTATTCAGGAGGGCTGTCTGGAAGAAGTTCTGGTATAGAGTTGAATTCGTAATAACTCGAGGCCAATTCTGAACGAACAACTTTTGAGAGGATAAAGAATGGCTGATAAACTTCACGAAAGACAGTGCTTATGGCTTGAAGAAACTCGATGATATCTTCCGATTTTTCATAAAATCCACAGATGACTGATACGGTTTCATGAGAAAGAGCACAAACACTGAAACCAACGCTAATGAGAAGCTAAAAAAGTGAAAGTTCAAACCTATCAACCCATGATATGCATTTATCATTAATTTTTTGCGTTAAAAGCTGAGAGGACTTTCTTTCCCTCTGTGATCTGTTAAGTTTTTCAATTTCTCCAACCATGACCGAAGAGAAAGATGAAGCTTGGTCACATATCAAAGAATCGAAAAGAGCTAAAACTGCATTTGAGCCAGTGTAACTTTTACTTTTCTACCTGGGCGATAGCCTGAGCTACTTAAAGCTTGTATATGCCGAGACAACTCTCCATGAGTGAACAGTTGGTCAATTACTGCCAAAGTCGATTTCAAATGATTGAGAATTGATAACAGTGAGCTAGACTCTTCAAGCTGTTTCCCAATAAAGTTCTTAAAGATGAAAAATAAGGATCAAATAGACATGCTCTGCTCACCTTTCTCGCTGTTAAGTATGAGTTAAGAAGACCTTCAAGATCAACATCTTTGATCAATGCTAATGCAATCAATTGATTTGTTACCCAGTCTGGATTAGACAACTCTCCTAACTCTTGCTCGAGACTGCTGATTAACGTTCGTCGTGTTCGAACTAATCTTCCTGTTATTGTCGAAACAACACTGCTAATCTTCAAAGACAAAATAAAAGAAACCAATGATTCAAAAACAAACCACACTAGGGAGGTGAGCAGAAGCCAATTGTTTGTGGATATTTTCTGATAATAAAAGAGCAAAAGCATCACACAAAGCGTCTCCATCTTCGTCACCTTAAATGGTGAAAACATGTGGGGACCAAAAAGTGACGACTTGCCTATGAGAGGGAGTAGTCGATGCAGGGCGATGAACATTTGAACATTGTGTTGCATATTTCTGGGAACAGTTCTGAAATCATTAAGACATGATTCGATGCACTGTTATGTAAAGTACTTGGTGTCAGTGAAGCTTTGGGTGTTTCTTGCTTGACCTAATGCTTCCGCTAATGTCTCAGCAAGTTGCCTGACATGACGTACCTGATGAAAATCGGTAATCAAGTATTTAAACGGTTACATACCTCTGTAGAAGCTTCAAGTACATCTCTATAACGTCTACCCACCATATCTCTCAGACCTTCCTTCTTACTCTCCATTTCGAGCCTAAAATAGGAATAAAGTGAGGAATATTCCTGTTCGATGCTCACTGTAGACTGGAATGGATATTCTCCAGTTGGTCTATTGTTAAATCCTTCATCAGTCTATCTACATCCATCTTAAAAACGCTTATGTGAAACATTCGTAACAACAATGTTATGTTCATATATACAGGTATGAATCCAATATGATAGGAGACACGGATACAAAAGGGTATTCGCATCCGATTTTCAGAAGTAGTACCGCGTACTCACTTCTGACGGACATCGATTACTGCCCAAATATGTGAGGAAGGTATTTCGGATGAGAGATAAAACTCTATGTAAGAACAAAGAAATTGTCAGAAACTTTAATATTTACTGCTCACATACAAATAAATAAATAAAAGCTTAATTGAGCAAGACAGAAATTAAGGAAGACAATATCTTCATATAAAATCAATCTTTTCCCGTTGTGTTCAGTGCCCGCTGTTGCTATCTCCGCTGACCTGAAATTGAGCCTCAATTATTGAGAGATTTCGGATGAACTTACTCTCTTGAAATCATCCATTCTCGTAACGTTATTAGGCATCCCGAAGAATTTGAGATCTGTAAGTTCAGTAACTTCGCCACCTTCTTGATTATTTTCGATAAATAATTGAAGACTATGGACGTTCTGGAACTTCACATACTTCAAAGCCAGTAATTCTCCCGTTTCTAAAATAATGAATTGAATCTTCTGCGTTATCGTTATGCTAGCCTCCAGCAGTATTTCCAAACTCCAAAATTTGAGTAGGTTCAATTGCTTGAGCATCGTCAAAGTCTAAAGCTCTTGGCAAGTTGATGAAGACGCGAACAACCTTTGGGGCTTTTCCTCCGTTTCCCTATGATAACATAAATTCTGATGAGAAGAGAAACAGGTTATACTTTAACGAAAATGGAGTGGAGCTTGACCGGTTGTTTAAAAGGTATTCCCAAGATGAGTTGTTCGTCACAATCCGATCGGAGTACTGATTGACTTCCTTAAAATTGTGTTAACTCCTCTTAACTTTCAGTCTCTTTTTTACCTCCGAAGAAGTTGGAAGCGGGTGTATCGTCACATGCATTGGAGCACTCGATTTGATTGAGCATAATATTTCCTTCTAACTGGAGGAATCCAGGGACCATATCCGAATCGGCTTTACTCCAACTGCGAACGATCTCTTCCAGTTTCTCTTTGTTAGCTCCTTTGAGAGAGCTGACAACATTTCTGAAAATGAAGCATTCAAGTTTTGAACATATATCCAAAAATACCCATTAACATAAACAAAAAAGGAAGGGAAACATGTGACACCAACACTAAGTGCAGCTCCTGAGGATGACTTGAATAAATCTCAATGGCATTTTTTTACCTTTACAAACTCTGATATCAGCCTCCAAAAAGGAGATGCTAGAACTATAACTGTCCGACAAGTTATTGAAAAGGGGAGAGATTGCTTTACAAGCACCGCATCTTAAAAAGAAAGATTCACTTGAGCTTAGAGTTATCTCAACCTTTCCATAGTGAACATTACTAAAACAGGCTTTGAACCCGCAGTACCTATCTTAGTACGGAAATCTTCATCGGATTTGCATACATGAACCACCATACTGCTAGAAATAAATTTTTTTTAAAAAACAGCGATTTCCAGACTAAAGATAGATGAAAACCATATGTCATCGTTTACAATGTTCAAGACATACTGCCTGATTTCGAGAACAAACAATGATATGAAGTTTTCAAAGTTAAAGTGTTATGGTTATTTGATTTACTGGTATTACGAAATTGAAAACTTCTGAGTGAAAACTACAATAACTCGACTCTTCTACTAGTTTCAATGAAATTTGGATGGCCAATGCTAACAAGACGTGGAAAGTTCCCACTGACGGTCGATTGCGTACTTTTTCATACGCTCAATATTCGGTTGTTTTTAATGGACTGGACCTCGTGCTTTCGATTCCCTGACGAAATTGAGCAAATTTATTGAAATTCGCCCTATATCTCGAGTTTAAAACAGTAATGTGTTTCAACCACGAAAGATTAAGATACTGTGCATCACATTTTCTCGAATTTTTATCAAATTTTCTCTGCTTTTTTGTTCACAATACATTTTGCAGGTTCCCGAGTTGGGTCTTCATAACTTCTCCTTCGCAGGATGGACTCCCTGCTGAGCAGGCGTGAAACCTTTGGTGTCTTCAAACCCTTTTTTCCTAACGAGTCCAGTATGGTAGAAAGGTTAGGTAACACTGAAACTCTTGAGGTATTTGCTAGCGTGGCAAAACTTTTGTGACTCATATGGTTTCAGTCTCACGCAGGATGCGTAAACACTCTTCGATGGAATGAAAAAGGATCGTAAGTTGTGATAGAAAAAGTGAAGAAAAAATAGCTGATGTCTTTAAGTTTATTGATCTCGGGGTCAGATGACAGAATGCTTAAATTGTGGTCTGTCGATGGAACTTTAATAAAAACTGTGAACACGGGACATCGGGGGATTATCTTTGCAGCTGAATTTGTACCTTGTGGGGAAGATCGAATTATAGCTTCAGGGGCTGGAGATCATCTTGTAAAGCTCCACGATATCAACTCGGACGGTAGTGCTGTACACTAATCGATATTAACGCGATCATTTATAGAAGTATTGAATACCTGGTCTTGTAAAGGTCGTGTGAAAAGAATGGCAACTGCTCAAGATGAGCCGTATTTATTCTGGTCGTCATCTGAAGATGGTAACATCAGGTAAGCAGAACAAAATTGTGAATGTTGAATGAATATCACCCGGCAGGCAATATGATGTTAGAACCAATAATGAGGAGGAAATTATTCAAACCGGAGCTGTGCCAATAAAATCTTTTGCAGTATGCCAGGGGAGAACTGAATTGGTGAGCTTTTAGATTAAGATAGATTAGTAAATGGTGAGAGATATAATCCTCATATAAATGAATGCGACCGCTCATGCTCTGGAATTTATCAGAATGACTGCTTTACCGTTGCTATCTTATGCTAATTCCCTTTCATTTAGATCGCTGTTGGGAGTGAGGAACATTTCACTCCGTTATATGACCGTCGTCAACTGAGCAAGCCTTTTATGACTTTAGCATCTGGTATTTTTCCATGTTTTGAACATTCCCTCTTATCTTATCATTCTCAGCTGATGCTGTGATCAATCGTTCTTCTCGTATAACGTTCACAACTCACGTAGCTTTCAATTATATGGGAACGGAAGTCATCGTAAGTGTGCGCTAGTCTGCTAATTCAGTCATATGACTTGCTAGGTGAACCAAGGATGTGGGCCAATTTATGTTTATAACCTTGAAAATCGCGAGCCTACCGTTCTTCAACGCTTGGAGAGTATTTTAACGACTCCAGGTAGGAACTCTGATATCTTATCTTCATTCATGTTTTTTTAGTTCCCGTTACTTATCGTTATTCTGACCACAGGGCTCCTGTGCTCGACAATGTGCGTGCTCTATTTACTGAAAAAAATTATAATAAGGTTGGTGTGAATCCTGCTGAGCCTTACCTAACTGTTTTTATCAGGTGATTGAATATATCAGCCAGGCTTTGGCTGAGAGCCTGTATTCTGATATGGTGGAGAAATCAGCATTGCTCTGTCTCAGAGGAAAATCATTTTTATCGCGAAGATGGCCAGGAGATACTTATGCGGCAGCGAGAGATTTTATAGAAGTATTTTTCATCTTCTGATAACTTGCAAACATAATAATCGTATAGGCTGTTCGTATCAATCCTGCTCACTGTCGAGCTCTCTGGTGGCTCGTTAGGGCACTCCTTCTTTTAGAGCAATATAAATTAGCTTCACGATGTATTGACTTATATAAAGAAAGGTTCAAGGATCTGACAGCTCCCTCTATAACTACGTTAGAAAATCAGGTTTGTAGTACGCTTACAAGTTGAAATACTCTTAGAAACAGGTTAATATTGGCCTTACTGAACAGATACCGGAAAACTATGAAGAAATGGTTGACGATCCGCAGTATCTTGATTATCATCGTAATGTTTTCTTTTTCTTGATTATTTCAATGTTTATTATTCCAGAAAGGTTCACTGGACATACAAATTGTCGAACGGATATAAAAGAAGCAAACTTTTTCGGGTCACGCGACCAGTTCATTGGTATGTTTGGCAACTTTCTAGCTTCTCTATCTAGAGGTTATAGTGTCTGGATCGGATTCTGGAAGTTTGTACATATGGGATAGAGATACTGGTAACATCAAAGTATCTCACTTTCTCTTTATATTTCCTACATATTGATCGTTCGCAGGTTGCTTTCTATGCTGATGAGGAAATTCTGAACATAGTTCAACCTCATCCGAGCAAATTTATGCTTGCCACCTCTGGAATTGAGAATGTTATCCGTTTTTGGGAACCTTTGCCGGAAGGCCAGTACGTAAGTTAACGGTTCTCGTATTGATTAACTGTGTACTTTACAGGATTTGAGAAGAGTCGATAATGTACATGAATTAAATCGATTCAACTCTCCACAATTTGCATTTTTGGGAAATATAGCAGCCACTGGCGTTCGACTTGCTGCAGGGGAGATGGAAGGGTCTTGCCGAGTTGTATAGTGTACATTTTTCGATGATATAATCATTCGCTGTAAATACATAGAGAAGATTAAATTTCTATTACTCAGAGCTTAGATGCGTTGAGTGCTTTTCATCGCTTTTTTCCTTTCGTTGTGACTTAAAATGTATGAACTTATAGTTTATCACAGCTGTACAAATGTTATTATGCTCTAATGAACACCCGAAAAAAATATTACGCAAAAGGCACCTTGGTAAAAAAAAAAAAAGAACTAAATAATTATGCAAAAACTCTAGACTAGCACGAAATCCCTGGCTTCAGACTAATGAAAGAACTATAACGATGCGACGACCCGTCTTTGAAATAGCTGAGATTTGAAACTTCCCAATAGATAAACATGATAAAACGGAAAGAAATTAGCAACGGACTTCTCGTCTTAAAATACTACGAGAATCATCCTCCAATAAATCCACTAAAACGTGAGTATACAGAGGGTAGAAGGTTTTATTGACGATCTGCAAATGATCATGATAATGAGGATTGTGGTTAAGATTGTGATACCTTGTAATTCAAGCTATTGAGTCCGTCACGTTCCCATCTAGAGGCTGTCTTTGACATTAGTTTATACCGGCATCTACAAAAAGAGAAATGTAGCTTAGGAAGTCAAATCCTTACTACCTATTAACAGGATTGCTGTGTTCCTCCTTCAAATGTTTAATCATTTTGTATCTAGCGATCGATGCTGGGTATCTAGTTATTTTCAATCCAGACAACCTTACTCTGAAAATACATTGTATTACATAAACAATTATTTTTGGGACAGCTGTGTTTATATTCCAAAAAATATGTTTACGCTCTCTCTTTTTTCATTATGTTTATGTTGAACTAACTCTTTAGGTCAGATACTTGTCGATATAATATCAAAATCGCTCAATAAGAAGATTGTCTGTTCAACAACAATATAATAATATAACTAAACCATGTTGCTATGAAAAATTTAGTAGAATCACCATGGTTTCGCAGAGAACAAAAGAAAAGAAACTAACCTTGATGATAGATCGTCGTCTTCTCCTCCCCATCCCCAATAATCATTCGAGAAACCATTAATCTGAATAAGCTGGCCAACGGTCAGAGCACTAATTCCTCCGAAAATCGATCCATAAGGCAGTCTAAAACAGATGCTTCACAGATGAAACATTTCCACTTCAAACTTGTATTTAAACTTGTCGATAGCAACACTCATATGACGAGGTTGTACCGGGCAAGTGTAAAGATTTCGATCGTCCTCAGGCAGTAAGTCAACGTCATGAAATATAAAACATTCCCAGGGATACATCTTCATTCCCTCTACAAAGCCAACATTCATAAGCTGGAAATTGCGAAATAAGAGCACTGAAGAATGAAATTCAACAACTACCTTAGCGCGATTAAAAGTCTGATTTGCTATTTGTTCAACAACAAGTATAGTGTAATCAAGCTGCTGTTTGGTTAGTAAAGAATGTAAATTATGTAACAATATTCTTAAATGATCTTCTCTATCACGAAACGGTACTACTACTGCCACCTAAACCTGCCATTGAACAGTCATTGTGAACGCAAATACAAACCCTGTGGTTGGAAGTGCAGTTTTTCGGTTGACCATGTCCGCCAGATTGTAGATAAGGGTACAGTAACCGCAATGATTCCATAGAAGGTGCATCTTGCCAAATTCTACGAAAACCGAGATAAGAAACTCTATTGTCCATCTAACCTTATTGGTCCGACTAAATTAGGTGGGGTAGCGGGGCAACTGTGTAAAGTGTCATCCTGTCTCGTGAAATCCCAAGTTTGATTATACCAGGGATCTAGACGAATGTTTAACAAAATATTAAAAAAAAACCGAAAACCTGTTGTTGTTTCGGTATAAACTAAAGTTGAAGCTTCTATATCGATAGTGCTAACTAAAATCGATGAAGAATGAGTTGCTGAATTTCTTAAAACAGCTTCGAGGGGATCTTCATATTGTTGGAAATAAGAGTCTGCAAAGAACGAGATAACATGATAATAACAAAGAAACCCACTAATATCAAAACTTTCATATATTGCCGGATATTCAAAGAGGAGGAAATGAACGAAACCACCAATGAAAAAAGCTAGGATTAGTTTTATTTTAGAGGGTGGAGAGATTTTCCAAGCCGGACCCATAAAGGGATCAGATTCAACACCGCATTAAACGCAAGAATCTGAAAATGAGCTTATATACATACATTAAAAACTGTGAAGGGTGTTGGACTTATGTTAAATAACGAAAATATGATGGGACAAGTGTAGCCAGAGCTTTATTTCCGCCCACCCAACAACTACTGGGCGTGGTTAGAATGCAAAGGATGCACGGTTGCAATGAGAAGTCTGCATTAAATGCATAAAGCAATCAAAATCGTGACAATTATACTGAATGTCCACGACGATTTCGAGCTTATTTGTGAACTAATAAGGTATTTCAGCATATTTTGCATATAAATAGCTTTATATATCGCATATTCATCAATTCTATGTTTATCATCGAAACTTTTTGTTTGCTCAGATCCTCAAAATGATGTAGTTAAGGTTTTCCAAATGCCGAAAAAGTTTGCGAATGAAAATCCAAAGGTTACTGCAGCCCGGGATCGTAAAGAAACAGCCAAGAAAACGGAACAGGATCGCAAGCAGAAGGTGCGAAAAATCAATAACAGATGCCAGTTATTGAATGAACTGATCGTTTTCAGGCTGTAGAGGATGCATATTGGGAAGATAATGACAAGTTAGCTAACAGAAAGATTCAGAGAAAAGTAAAATTTATCTCTTGTACTACTTTTTTCCCAATCGTTGCGAGCTTTTTAACAAGTTTTAGTCAAGACACCTACTTGAAGATAGATTAGACTTGAGAAATCACTCAAACTTTGATCAATAGCCATGCATTTTAAAAGGAATATAGTCATCCAAAATTTATCCCTTGTCTGGAGTATTCACTCTACAATGTTTACTGTTGAAGGATGATGAGGAGAAGAAGAAAGCTGAAGCTTTAAAAAGAAAGGAAGAAAACAGAAGATTAGCGGAAGAAGAGTCCAAAGCAGTCGGTGGGAAAGTGGCATCATCTACATCTAAGGTTACTAGGTATCCCGGATTTGTATTATGTTTGGTTATCATTGAATAATTAAGAGCTGATATCGAAAAACAACGCGAAGCTGCGTTGCTTCAGAGACTTCAAGAAGATCGTTTGAAGAAGTTAGAAGCTACTAAAATAGAAGTATGAATAATTATATGAATGATAGAGATCAAAACAGTATACTATCTTTAGGTTACTCCTGAGCACAAGTTAGAAGAAAATATCAATAAACTCAGTCTTACTGAAGAATCAGCTCGTAATGTAGATGAAGCTCTGCAAGTTCTAGGTGCACCTGGTGATGAAGTCGATATGCATCCTGAGAAAAGAATGAAATCCGCCTACCTAGTAAACATTTTGTGCAAAATATCACACGAACATTTCCATTTCAGACTTTCGAAGAAACTCGCTTACCCCAACTTAAACAAGAACATCCAACCTATCGTCTTTCGCAATTAAAGCAGTTGCTCAAAAAAGAGTGGCAAAAGTCTCCAGATAATCCATTGAACCGAGTTCTAGCCATGACTAAATGAGAGATTTTATATTTTGTTTTTTATATTTGGTTATTTTGAACACATGTTTGTGCATTTCAACGTTGTTTGTAAATATCTATTTCATCCTGTTCAATCGTGATTCGGGTGATTTTCCCCTCGTCTATGTTCAAATCTTGTGTTTGTTTTCTAATTTTATTTTCTAGGATAATGATCAGCATATTCTACTCAAGGAATCGACATGTGTTCACCTTTGATTCTCTGAAAGAAAAGAAGGTTCGCGATGTGATAGAGCAAGTTGTAGAGCAGGATAAACGAGAAAGAGCAGGTATCTTGAAGTTTGTAGCTATAATCATACTTATATTTTCAGTTCTGACTTGCGAAGGTAAGCCTATTGCTTCCGAAACTGCAATGGAAACTTTGTTCGAGGAAAGTGCTGTTTTTTTGGTAACTCTACCAAAAGATCAGATTCCTGAGGTTTTTCTTTTCATGAATGACATTTTCGACAAATATCTCAGGTTCTAACAAAACCCATCGAAAAGAAGGCTTTGGAAGAAGTGGGAAAGATGATCAATGGATATGCAAAGCTTTATGATAAGCGTCTCGTAAGCATCAATATATATATTTCTGAAAACAAGTCGAATTCAGATCTCTGGAGCTGTACAAGACGTGATAGCTCATGATTTTCTAGGGATTCTCTTCAAAACATACCCAGAACTACTATATGTACCTTCAAAAGTCAATGCTTTCAGAGATAGTCGCATTCTCATCACCATGCTTTTCGAAGAACCGGATGTATATAACCCACTCAAGTAGTTCAGCTTATTTTTTTTTACAGAAGTCGTTCTCAAAAATGAAAGAGAAAATCCCATTGTTCCTTGGATTTAAAACATTGCTAACTCTAATGAAAAACGTATGGCGCGCACCTCTATTTTTAATTTTCCCAATTTCAGCCTATGAGCAAACAGTTGAATCCTCTCGAGCTTTTCTCCAACTTGGCCCAAATGGCCGGTGAAGAACAAGAGGCTGCTCTTCCAGTTGGAGGAAGCAGAGTTGCTCCTGTTGCTTTATCTGCTACAGATGATGGTGCCGGTCCTAGTGTCTCGCCGGCTCCCAACAGAGCTTCGGACCCTGCAGGAAATCCTGTCACCAGAGAAATGCTCACCGAAGTGAACTCTTTTTTCAAGTTTCATAGAAACTTGTGAAAATTTCAGGCTATCGCTTTTGCGATGAATAGTATCAATCCTGGTGCAAATCCTCCCGTTAATCCACTATTTGGCGCAATCCCTGTGCCTATTGATGACGAAATGGGAGGAGATGAGCAAGAAGAAGAGGGAAGAGATAACATTGAAAACTACAGGTCAGTTCATGAAACTCTCGACTATATAATGGATTCTCTCAGAGTAATATTCCGATCTCAATTAGAAAGATTGGTTGAGTTCGGGTTCGATGATGAAGAAGAAAACATAAGAGCTCTCCTCGCATCTGGAGGAGATCTCGATTTTGCATTAAACATCATCATCGCTGCGAGAGAGTCTAACTGATTTATACCTTACTTGTATGTAAATAAAAATGTTAACAATATTTATTCCGTGAACGTCTTTGTTTCCCGTTCGTCATTTTTTTTATAAACGTTGGCTTATTCTTTTACTTGGGGATATGATCCAAGTTGGCTTCAGTCGTCCAGTGATAATATGGTGCTCCTGGAGAGAAGCACGTATTATCTCTCAAAATCTGAATTAAAATATGTTTTGAAATATAAATATTTTAAAGCTACTTGTCCGTTCTCTGCCCAGTACATTATGTAGAAATTGCACATTTCATCTTCTCCTGTTCCACCCATGGTGATAACATGATCTTCATTGTTTTTCAAGATACATCTGATGTTAACAGCTTTGAAATATTTATGGCATGTCTTTGCTTACCGTGCTGCGAGCATATCACCGCGATATATAACCATAGATTCATTCTTGACCGGAACGAACATTTGTGGTAGTTGAGGATCTCTACGTCCGATCAGGTACCAATCGTCTTCGCTCTTACTATTCTAGAACACTGTAATGAAAAAGAGTGATACAATAAAAAAAACAACCTCCTCAACGACCCATCCACCAACATCAGTACCGTGTCGATGAGTATGAGTACGATAAGCGAATGGATGAAGGGCAACATCTTCTTCGATAACACATGCGGTTTCAAAGCTTTCTATAAATAGTGGATGATAATTCTGTTTTTTTTCTTTTTTTCCTAATTGTTTACCAGTAGTTTGTGGTTTGATTGCTCCTCCTGTAACCAACAGCATTGTTGCAGCTGTCTTTGGTTGGGGTTCTTCGGTATGAGTTACAGATACCCCAGAGTAGTCAGGCTCTTCAGAAGCATGCATGTAATGAACCTGATTGAGGAGAAATATTAAACAAACCATGTGAAATACTTACTTGCATAACTATGTATCTAATTCCTGTTTCTCCTCCAATGTGGAATGCAACACCTATAAAACATTTCAGTTTATGTTGTAGATCTTTCAACCAACCTTCTGGGAGTTTCAACTCGGGGGCATCTTTAGCCCAAGCATAGAGAATGGAAGGCTTGCTACGACATGTTGGAGCTCTACGCAAGTACTCGGAGTTTGAAGCCATCTCTCCGCATTCCCTATAAAAGTCATTTGAGTTAAATAAAATAATGAGAAGTTTTCTGTTCTTTGAGCTTACCAGATTGGTTCATCGCTTCCTGGTTCTTCGCAGCCAAACAAAAGAATATGATGAGCATTGTGCTTCTCAGCCAATGCTTTGAAACCAGCTGAAATTGATTAATAAAATATTCTTCAATAAAAAAAAGTATTTGTATCCAGTCATTATTTTCCCACAACTCAGCATAGTTTGTATTTCTTACTTCACGTCATTTTCACGTGAAAGAAAAAAACAACGAAGCTTCATGTTCATTTGGAAGTGCAAAAGTCAAGAAGCGGTTGCGTTGTAGGCACATGATACTTAGTACTTTATGTTTCAGTGTTTATACAAACGGTAAAGTAATGTAAACGTACTGATAAAGTGATCGTAGTCATCAATCATGCGAGATGTACAAACGTAAGAGTCCGCCTGAAAATCGGAAATCTCATTATGTTTCTAACAGGTACAGAGATTTGGCTGATTGCTCAGATTTAATAGCTTTCTGATGTATTTAAAGATTTGCGTTTGAATAGATATATATGAGCAATAACAAAACAACAGCGTCTGTTGTAAACAACACTGAGCTTGATTCGATTAAAGTAATTAAGAAGATTAAAAATGTATTTGAAGGATTATGACTTACCTCCGGAATGACACCATCCATACGGATGGATGTCTCCTCGGCGTTGACACCGATGACAATCAGGAGATGAACTGCTACGCATGATAGCAGTCCACGCATAGTTATCTCCAGAAATGTAGATTTGAAAATGAGGAACGTGGAAAGCTTTAGCCAAATCGAGGAGTCCCCAGGAAGTGGGCGGGGTAACGAACAAATCGATATGATGCCGCGAGCGACGAGAAAAGAGCAGTGGAGCCCAGAAGGCGAATGACGTTGGTGACGACATGGCAAACGGCTGAAAGCTGCCTGCCGTCATATGCTCAAGCGTGCTAGATCTAGACAAAAAAGTATGCTTTGATGGCATTGAAACATGTAGTCAAGAAGGCTCTCATAAGGTACACATTTACGAATATTGGATATATGCTTAGGAATGTAATGAATGCCTTTTACTACATTTGATTCTCAGGGACCAGATGCTTATTGCCTTAAGTTTGAGACTGAAACTTGAAACATCTACTGTTTTCCAAATATTTTACGACTCACAAGTTAATTGAAAATTTTAAAACTTTCAGAATTCAATTATATACATTAGCTTGTGAAGCGTAAGCTTGCCATTCAAATATTCTATTCAAGCATCCGAATGATATCATTTTCGTCTTTCTTTTTTCTTCTATTTCCATTTTCATAACTTGAACAGCACCCTTCATGGATTATTTACATTTTCGACGTTATGCAACTGTTTTTTACTTACAAAATGCATTATTGAAAATTATATTCAGAAAGAATTGAAACTTGTGATACGGAATGACACCGAGATCATATACGCAGATTCATTAGATATCCATTTTCATCAGTACCCCAATTAACTTCTTTTGATGTGATTCTTATTCTAAGACTTTCCGATTTCCAATTAATAATTAAAACTTTCTGTGTAGTATATTAAGCAATCTTCTGGGAAATGTATAAATATATATAAAAATTGCATTATTATTGATAACTGCTGAGCTATAATACATCCGCATGATGTGTTTGATGAAGCTGTGGAGGAACATAAGACTATGACGATGAAATGAACGAATTGAAAATCCTCTTTGCTACGATAAAACCAGAGCTATATTTATGTGAAAATTGTTGTTTTGCATCTAAGGAACATCTTCGTTCGTTCACGATGTATTGTGTTAATTTATATTCAAAAAGGAATTCGTACAGAATTATTTCTTCTTTACAACATTAAACATACAAAGCATATTCAATATATATATATATATATGATTATATATATATATATATATATATTATAG